GAGAGAGAGAGAGAGAGAGAGAGAGAGAGAGAGAGAGAGAGAGAGAGAGAGAGAGAGAGAGGGGCTGAGAGACTTGCCTGCGTTGCTCTCATGTTTGAGCTGAAGTGAGAAATTATTGCAGGTGGCATTTTGATTTTGATTTGGGTTTATGTATGGGAGACAAGTCCTGTAACGGGTGGAAAGGGATATTGCCACATTTATGTTATGTCCAAGTATAAAACAACTTTTTCTTCTCCTTTGTCAAACTAGTGTTTTTTAGAAAGGCTGCTGTCCCCCATCTATGTCTTGATAATGCCATGGGGACTGTGTTCAGAATGTAGTAGGACTGTCTGACAATCTAAGTCACCCGAGGAGAAAGCTAACAGTGGTAATGGAGGGGGAGGAGGTTGGGACGGGGTGCCTGGTTTAGTTTTAAGTTGGATGGCTATATGTTTTTTTCTAAATAAAGCCTTAGCATTAACTCTAAGTTATTTATCAAGAGTGTGAGAGATCTTTGGTGAACTCTGATGCCACGAATGTCTTCCTTTCAACTCTGCCATCTCTTTGTTTCCTTTAGATGTTTTCGCCTCCCGTAAGCAGTGGGAAAAACGGACCAACTTCTTTGGCGAGTGGACATTTTACTGGCTCAAGTACGTGAATTCTTTTCTTGGTGTGAAGTTCAGTGTTCTCAGTTGTTTATTTGCTCTTTGTGTATTTTTGGACTCTGTTGAAGTGTTCTGAAAGAAGTCATTGAGTTTTAACCTAGGATGATGTGGTTATTTCATTACCCACCAGCAACAAACTTACCCAGAATGTTGCCTTTCCCAATTCAAGGGAGACCTATTTTCTAAAGCAGGAAAACCCGTATCAGAATTCCATCACAAGTTAAACCTGATTTTTAAAAATATGGTTGTAATTAAACATGTGAGCGTAAGACTGATGTTAATAACATGTGGGCAAATCCATGTTCCTTATTTTAAAATACAGGGGGGAAAATCTGACTTTCATAAAAGGGGAAATAATGCCAGTTATTAGGTCCTGTGTACAATTAACTGTTTTAAAGAAAGCGGCACTTAATTTTTCAGACAAGTCTGTAAATAGCCTCATGCTAGCCTGAGAGGCTAAGTAGGAATTCATTTATCTTTAAACTATCTTGTGGATGCTGGAGCTGTTTGTTTTCTCTCCCTTATCATTGACTTATGCAGTGAATTTAATGTAGCAGATTTGGAGAGACTTAGCGTTTTATACGTGAGACTTCTTTGGGTGATGCTTCTGCAAAAAGGCCGCGGTATTCACAAAGGAATCTGTGTGCACAGTGATTATCTGGCATCTGAGGAGGAATTTTTAGCTTTTTGAGTATCTCTCATTAAAAGTGGGAACTGAAAATGTGACATTTCTGTAAGATGTGTTTGTTTGTTTCTTTTGCTTTATCTTTTTAAAGCCAGCCATTTTAAAATAAGGAGTCAATACATTGTTGCCTGCTGTCCTTTAAGTCCAGGGTTTAAATTCATTGATGCCTCACAAGCAGCTGCAGGATGTTAGAGTTCTGGCCATGGTATATAACAGTCCACTAGGTAGCACCGCTCTGAAGTCAGTCTGGTAAATGTTGACATCTTATAGCTATGAGATGCTAGTGTGTTTGTCTGTCAGCTATGGATATCATTTTTATATATTTGTTTTCATCTGGTGCAACAAGAGCCAAAGAAATCTGTTTAGCTAGATGACTTGTGTACTTTGTGTATTTTTATACAAATAATGTCTTTTACAACTTGGTGTTTTCTATGTGAGTTACTCCTACTGGCTTCCATAAGTTTAGGGGATTTTTCTCTCTTTAACATGATTCAAAAAATACATGGTGCCTCCTATAATTTTACCTTAGCATATTTTGGGGTCTTCTTTGATTAAGAGTATTAATGACAAAATGTTTGCTTTACTGTTTGAGCCCTGTTTCTGGTTCCATTTTTAAAAATTTGCTATTAGCATTCCATATTACAAATTTCTGTATAGTATTCTCTATGTAGCTTTCAGGACAGAAAATGTTAATATGAATGCTTGAAGTAAAGATGAAGACAATGTGTTCTGTAGTCAAGTTAGTGCTTCCTGTAGACATCATCAAAATACTAACCTTATGTCTGGCAGTAATTTCCTTCATGTTTGACTTAAGAAATGTGTGTATAGTTGAAATCTGACTAAAGTAGATGTCAGGCAGGCCCAGAGTTCTCCTTTCAGAGTTAGTATAAAATACTGTTTGCACTTGTAATGATGGACACATTTGGAATAATCTAATGTATTACTTTAGCTGTGATTTAATTTATTAAGACAAATTATAAGTATGAAATATGTTAAATTTAAAAAGACAATTGTTTTATTCAGCTCATGTTCTGTGTTCATGCTCAGTTAAAGTCCTTGTTGAAACGTTGAAGTGTTGGTAGACAGTATAGGATGGATGATTTGAATATGTACTAACTCATTTGGCAAATAGTCACATATCAAAACGTATAGCTGATCAGACAATGATGTGTGTCTGTGTGTGTCTGTATGTGTGTTGTGTTGGTGTGTCTGTGTTTGTATGTGTTGTGTTGATGTGTCTGTGTGTCTGTGTTGTGTTGGTGTGTCTGTGTGTTTGTGTGTGTTTGTTGTCTTGATGTGTGTGTGTGTCTCTGTGTGTGTATTGGTGTATCTGTGTTTGTGTGTGGGTTGTGTTTATGTATCCATAATCCCAGAAAAAGACTTTATCCATGATGACCTGTTAGGCTATTTCTAATGAATATGCAGAGATTATCTTGAAGGTGCTGAGCTTTAAAGCTACCTGGTACCAGTGGTGTAGTTTTCAGGACCAGATGTTTACCTTGTAAGGGTAGAAAGTGTAGGGCTCTTTTATCCTGCCTGCCTGATGGAAATGCAGTGCATTCCTATGGTGCAGGAGGATGGTGACTGAGGTACAAGGGGTGCAGACTGTTAGTTTCCGCATCAGTTAAGGCATAGCAGGACAAGGCGTACATTTCTACACAATACGAGACACCTCTCTTTTAAAACATAAAAAATTATAAAAACTGCACTTTGGCCTTTAACTGGGAGCATGTATTAGGAAACTTTGGATAGAGGAATTATTTCTAAAGTTACTTTAAGTTTTATATTTACCTTCCTGAATGGACTCAGATATGACTTTGAAACTTAGATTCAGGAAAGAGAGTTCTAGACTATAAGTAAATGAGTCCAATTTGGAAAAAAAAAATCAGTGCTTTTTTTTTTTTCTTCCCTAAGTGAGGTCTGGTCATATTTCATGCTGCAAGTTCCCAATAGCTGTTGATCCCATTAATACGTGATATTCTGTTTGAGAATGGAAAGAGTGTGGCCAGATTTGCTTTAATCTTTCATTCCACAAACATAGCTTTTCCTACCACCAGAAGAACCGGGTAAGGCTGCTAGGGTGAATGGAATGTAACCTGAGCTCCAGCCTGACATTCCCGGGGAGCATTTTTCACTTGAAAGGCTTTTGTCAACCCAGGAAAGGACCAGCAGTTTTTGTTTGATGTTTGCAGGTGTTCCACAGAATGCAGTAAAACTGTTCAGCCAGGGTAGACCAGAGCTGCCATGACCTTAACTGGTGGCTCTGGGATTACGTTTAAGGGGTAGCTCTAACCTGTATGGTAATGTGTACAAAGCAATCTGATATCTGTTATATCAGTGATCTTAACATGAACTAAAAGCATCCATATGTGTGCTTGGAAAGTTGTTCTCACTTAAAAAAAAAAAAAAAAGACTGAGTTACCAAAAACAAAGTATCTGTGTTTTAGGGTAAGTTGAGGTTTTATTTCCTGATATAGCACAAGTGTAGTTTATTTGACTATGTTTGAGGCTTTTGGGAACAAAAGATAAACACACTAGAGTTTGACATCATTTGAAAAAAATGATTTTAAAGTTGACCTACTAAAACGATACGACCGTGAACATCTTGTTAGGTTAGCTCTGTTGGCATCTGTGAGCACATGTGAACAGCGAGTCTGTGAAGGATGCTACAGCTTGCTCCTTTAGTTCAAACGTGGAGGCTTCTTCCCCTGTGCTTGCTTACTTCTTAGGTGTTCAGCTGTTGGTAAATGTTGCCAAACCCACTGGTGTTAAAGCAATTAAAAGTAGGGTCAAAGCATCTCGAATTGCTCTGCTGAGCCAGTTTTGGAAAGGGGGAAACAATTCTTGGTTTCCATGTATGTTAGCTTACCTATGTCCCCATGGCATCAAAATGATATGTCGATTGAGTAAAGTCATGGAGAAGGAAAAAATCTGCCTCAATGGACAATTTTATATGATAGAGGAAAAAAAAATTGAAGTGGCTCACACCCTGTGTTCATTTCTACCTGTGTGTCGGTATGAGTTCTTTTGTTGGTGTGGAGAGGAAATTAGTTTTTCTTCAAGGTGTTATAGAGGAGATGCTCCCTACTTTCTTTCGTGTGTGTGTGTGTGTGTGTGTGTGTGTATGTGTATGCAGTACGCATCCCAGTCTGGTACAGATGATCATGGTGGTTATAAAAGTTTTTTTTGCACCAACAGAGAGCTGCTTAATAGATTTTGAAAAGTACAGTAGCATCAGGCAGGTTGTATTAGACTCTCTGTATTTTGGGGTCAGCCCCAAATTAACTCCTAGAACCTCCAGTACATAGCTGAGGAACTCTAGATTGCAGGTGAGGAACGTCCATCCTCAGTATTGAAAATCAGCTTTGATTTGCTGTCTGTGGCATGGAAAACCCTTTATTGGAAATAACACATTGGACTTACCACTGTTTTTTTCTGTCCTTTGTCATCCATAATGGGGTTCAAGGATTGATATGCTGTGTGCGCTGGAAGTGCTTTGCTTAAGTGCCCTCTGAGCAGTTTGCTTAGGTTTGGAACTCTGTTTTAGCTTATTGGTTGCCTGGTGTCCCCTGTGCTCCTTTAGGAGTGCTGGACAGAGTGCCGAGTTGGAGTCAGAGTGTGATGCTACAGACCAACATGGCTTCTGTGGGTTCTGTGTTGTGTATGTAGTCTAGCTTTAATCCTCTCAAGAACACAAGTGAATGCAAACATCAACATGCCTGATTCATAGAACAGGGGAACTGAGGCACAGTGGTAGTCAGCCATGTGTTCACAAGGCAAGAAGTAATGAAATTAAGTTTAAATTCAGGCCTGCCTAGACACAAATCTTTATAGCCCTTCACACACACATATACACATATTCACATTCGCACACATACCAGCCCACACAAAGGCTTCAAGAGCCAGACAGCTCATATTTTTCAAGATTATATAGCTATGAAATATAATATTGAAGCCTGGTATGAAATGCTATTTATGGTCTTTAGAGTAGAAAGCATTAAAAAAACATATTTAAGGTAATGTTACAAATCATATCCACTGTTTTTCTGCCTCAGTGTCCAGATTAAGTTACCCTTTTAAATTATGATGGATTTCCATATGAGCTAGTATATTGTTCTCATATTATCTCATTACTTTTACAGAAAAAATAGAATGGTTATTTTAAAAGTTGTGCTTCTTTTTTTTCCCCCATGGGAAATCTGTATGCAGCTATTTGGGTCCCAGGGAAGACATTTTCAATTATTTTTGTGTCAATAATCAGATCTGAAATTGCAGTAACCCAGTGTGACCTATTAATATC